CTTCTATAGGTAATAATGATGTTTTTAGAGTTAATCAAATAGAGAACTCATGTTTATTTTGGTCATTTATGTAGAAGGTGAAAAGGGAATCAGTTGGTGAATTATTGCAGCATAAATAGCATGTATCATTTGGCAAAGCATTGTTAGCTCCTAAATATTCATAAAGATTGTTCTGTTCTCTCATTTTAGGAAACAAGTGGGAAGACAAGACCACTGAAGTTGAGATTGAAAACTCTGGGAGCAATGTAAGGTAACTGTCCTCATAAGAGGAGTCCATGACTGGGTCTGAGAACTGTCATGTAATATTTAAAGGAAATCAACGAAAGAAGTATGCATAATTTGAGAAGTATTTATTCTTATAGTGCTTTTCACCTGAAGTATGTACTTAGCTGTAACAGATATTCTGTCTTTTCAAAGTATTTGACATGCAAAAAGTACTATGAAATTGCATATGTGAATACCACTGTTTGGATAATAGCCATAGAGAAGCTGTGTTGAAAAGGATTGTTTGCTTTCAATCTCCTTATTTTTAAGCAAGTTGAACAAGTCAGAAAACCTAGCCTTTACCTGATGTTGGTAGTAATGTAAAGATCTATAAATACATAGAAAATTGTGAATGAATCAAGCATTGATTATGTGCTGTTCACTTCTTCTTCCTTAAAGAAGTCATATGGTAAATTCAAAGGCACAAAATAGTGTGGGAAAACCTTCAAATCGATTCCAATTCTTAATTGAACAAAGAAAAATTTTAATAGAGTAAATCCATGTCACTTCATTATGTGTGCAAAAGACTTCATGTGACCTTCATTCCTTCATAGGCAGATCACATCTTACTGTGAACACAAATACTACAAGCATGAGGAATGTGAAGAGAAGCCATGTGAATTTAAACAATATAAGAAATCTCTGGTTTCTCCCAAAAATGTTCACACACAAATGTTAATACAAACTGGAGATGGACCTTTTAAATGTACAGTACGTGGGAAAGTCATCCGTCATTCCAGTGACATTCAAAGGCATAAAGATACTCATACTGGTTGGCAACCCTATGAATATCAGCAATGTGGTGAAGCCTCGTCTTCTCCCACAGGTGTTCCAAGACACATGAGAACACACAGTGAACGTAAACGTTTTCAATGTGAGGTATGTGGGAAAGACTTTGCTTTTCCCAGTTTACTTAGAATACATCAGAGAATGCATACTGGAGAGAAGCCCTATGAATGTAAGCAGTGTGGTAAAGCCTTTGCTACATTCAGTAACCTTCACTCACATGAAAAAATTCATACTGGAGAGAAGCCCTATGAATGTAAGCAGTGTGGCAAAGCCTTTTCTACGTCCAGTTCTCTTCAGATTCATGGAAGAATACATACCAGAGAAAAGCCCTATGAATGTCAACAATGTGGAAAAGCCTTTGCTATTGCTTCTGGCCTTCAGATACATGAACGAACTCATACTGGAGAGAAGCCCTATGAATGTAAGCAGTGTGGGAAAGCCTTTGCTACATTCAGTAACCTTCACTCACATGAAAAAACTCATACTGGAGAGAAGCCCTATGCATGTAAGCAGTGTGGCAAAGCCTTCACTCAGTCCAGTAACCTTCACACACATGAAAAAACTCATACTGGAGAGAAGCCCTATGCATGTAAGCAGTGTGGTAAAGCCTTTTCTATAGCCAGATCTCTTCAGATTCATGGAAGACTACATACTGGAGAAAAGCCCTATGAATGTAAGCAGTGTGGCAAAGCCTTTACTACATTCAGTTACCTTCAGTCACATGAAAAAACTCATGCTGGGGAGAAGCCGTATAAATGTGAGCAGTGTGGAAAAGCCTTTTCTACATCGAGTAACCTTCAAATTCATGGAAGAACACATACTAGAGAGAAATGCTCTGAATGTCAACAATGTGGAAAAGTCTTCACTACTGCCTCTGGCCTTCAGATACATGAACGAACTCATACTGGAGAGAAGCCCTATGAATGTAAGCAGTGTGGCAAAGCCTTCACTCAGTCATCTACCCTTCACCTACATGAGAAAATTCATACTGGAGTGAAGCCCTATGATTGTAAGCAGTGTGGCAAAGCCTTTGCTACATCCAGTTACCTTCAGATTCATGGAAGAATGCACACTGGAGAGAAGCCCTATGAGTGTAAGCAGTGTGGCAAAGCCTTTGCTACATCCAGTCACCTTCACTCACATGAAAAAACTCATACTGGACAGAAGCCTTATGAATGTAAGCAGTGTGGCAAAGCCTTTTCTAGATCCAGTAACCTTCAGATTCATGGAAGAATGCACACTGGAGAGAAGCCCTATGAATGTAAGCAGTGTGGCAAAGCCTTTGCTGCATCCCCTACGCTTCACAGACATGAAAGAATCCATACCAGAGAAAAGCGCTATGAATAACAACAATGTGGAAAAGCTTTTGGCACATCCTGTCTGCTTCACACACGTGAAAGAACAGATACTGCAGAGAAATCATATGCATGAAAACAATTGGTAAACTTTTCTGTTATTACTGTTTCACTCATATACATGTAGGAAGTTACTGGAGAAAAATCCTTTGAATGTAAATCCTGGTAAATCAATATTTCATGTCAGTCTCAAAGACAAGAAAGTACTCACACTGCTGAAAATGTGTGTGTGTGTGTGTGTGTGTGTTAGAGAGACAGAGAGAGAGAGAGACTGGGGATTTAGTCCAGTTGTGCTCTACCAGTTAGCTACATTCCAGTTACTTTTTATTTTGAGACAGGGACTTGCTGCATTTTTTAGGGTCTTCCTAAGGTGCTGAGGGTAGCCTCCAACACTGATCCTTCAGAATTACCCTCTCAAGTCTCAGGAATTAAAGGCATACACCACCACTTCCAACTGATTAACTCTTTAAATGTATAAAATTATCACAAATCATTCCATTTTTCCCTCTTGCCCTCAAAGCCATTTCATTCACATTGATAAACAAACCCTCTGAATGTAAGCAGTGTGGCAACTCCTTTGCTACATCCCGTCAGCTTCATAAACATGGAAGAATACATACCAGAGAAAAGCCCTGGAATACATACCAGAATACATACCAGAGAAAAGCTACATCCTGTCAGCTTCCCCTCCAGCCCTGTTTTTCTTCTCATATATGAAAACACACAGAGAAGCCCTGCGAGTGTGAGAAGTGTGGGAAATCTAGTTTTCTCCGTCTTTTACTAAGGCCTCAGAAGATTCTTTTGGAATAAAAAGAATAAATCCTATGCAAAAAAGAAATATGAGTTGTTGAGCTGTTCTAGTTTTGTTCAGTTGTATGAAAGGAGTCATACTGTAGAAAATGCTGAGGATAAGCCATGTGAGGCAGTATTCAGCTTTCAGAGTTTTCTTCAAAGACATAAAGAATTCACATCTGAGAAGATCCTTTTTCTCTTTCAAAATTGTAGTAAGACTTTCAACTTTCCAGGTCCCTTTAAACAGCATTTAAGAAACCACACTGGAGAAAAGCCCTGTATGTAGAAATGTGGTAGGACCTTTGCTTKTTTCAGATCCATTTGAACTTGTTCAGAATTGAGGATATTTTATTTTATTTATTTATTTTGAGAAAAAAACTGTAGGTGTGTGAAAAGGTTTGTGTCTTCATTTCTTTGTTTATCTATTCAGAGGTACCAAAAATGCACCCTGCGTTGGAGAGGTGCATTGCATCAGCATGAAGATTTTAAAACAACATGTTTTTCTTCTCAGTTAAATCTCTCTTTTTCCATTTTCCTGTATTTTAAATATTTTGTGTCCATTGTTTCATTACATATTCTGTATGTTAGTTTTCACCTCTCCACTCCAAAATACAGATTGGTGAAATGTCTTTTCTGAACTTCTTTCCTCTCTGTCTTTGTTCACATTTCACCCAGGAGTGCTCCACCACTGAGTTTCCCCACAGTCCTTTTAATTGTTGTTTTTTGAGGTGGAGTGAGACTGGCAGCTGGGAACATGGGGATGTGTCTGTGTAACCTGAAGCTGGCCTCTTTCTTTTCCTTGATTGCTTATTGAGCTGTTGATGACTCTGGGACCCCACTCTTGTCACTTGTGCTTGTTCTAAGTCTCATGTATTGTGCTGTATGTAAGCACATTAAAGAGCATCATAACATAATGTCATTTGTGTATAATACTTGGAGAGGCACCTTCTCAAAATATGATTTGTCCTATGCTTGAGTTGCTTTCCTTTTCTTCCCCAGTTCTGGAGACTCAATCCTGCCTTGTGCATGCTAGGCAGGCATTCTTGCACTGAGCACTCCCATAGCTCAGGTGTTGAGTTTTCTGGTGCTGTGTGTGTGGACTCCACGGATGATCACATCAGCAGATGCAGCTCTGCAGGTTTTTCCTCCACAATTGCAGATGGTCTCTTCCTTTTTAAATGTCTTTTATACCAGTGAATTTTTTAAACTACATCCAACTTAGCTTTTCTCCCCATGAATAATACTTAGGTGGAATATTCTGGAAAACTCAGGCTTGATTTCTCTCTGTGTTTGGAGTAGCTCAGTAGCCCTGGGAAAATTGTGTGATGGTTTAAGGTTTAAGGTTAAGAAAACCTACTTAATGCACTCTACATGATGAAAGGCTTAGTAAGGAGTGTCCCAGTCTGATGTGCTAATATAGTGGCACTCCTTTCTGCACCAAAGAATCTTAAATTAGCTTCTTGAGAGACCTTCACCTTAATTTTCATTCAACAAAATGGCAGGAGCAGATTTTGCAAAGATCTCAATGTGGGTTATAATACAGACTTCTGCTTTAGTGGTAAAGCTTGGAAGACCTCTGACTAATCTTACAATTGGTGCACAAAGCACTTTCTGTGAACTAAAAGAAAAAAATTCTTCACGTATACACCTACAGAAAATATAAACCTCTATCCCTGTCCCACTGGGTGTAAATGAAGATCAATGAAATTCCAAGCAGAGAACCAAAAAATTTGAGGTGATACACCTCAGAACCCTGCAGCAAATAAATCTAATCCTGGAACATCCTTGGGTGTCTAGCCCCATGTGCCCTACATCATTGATGCAGCTACAGCCTCCCATCAGGTGACATTCTGCAGTACATGCTGTGGAGAGGGCTGTTTCTATGCAGGCTAAAGGATTAAAGTGAACAACTCAAAGCTCTGGAGACACATTTTCTATCATGTCCAACTGCAGCATCAACTAGATATGAAGATTAAATGTTTCCCTGGCTCATGAGAATGAGAGGATCTGGGAAAGGGCTGTGAGGGTTGAGGGATGGGGACATGTGCTCTTTTCATAACCTTCCTTTGATCCCAAGAAGAGGCTGCCAGGTTTCCCATCTCATCAGAGCTGGAGGGACTCATAGGTGCTTATTAGGCCCCAGCTTCACCTGCTGCTGAGGAAGAGGGTGCACCTGACCTTGTGTGAGGAGCTTCTTCCACTGACAGGGCTTTGACCTGCAGGCCAGGATGAAAGGTTAAGAATGTAAAGGTTAAGTTTGTTTTCTTGGTTGAGTTTATGTTTTGTTTCCCTGAAACCTGAAATTTATGTGGGTGTCAAAACAATTCCTGGAAAAACCGTTAAATGTATGTTGAGAAATGTCTCCTGACCATCTGGTTGCTCTGTACAAACAACCCCTCCCGCATTCCCTGACCTCCACATGAACTCCCCAGTTCAAACAATGTATATAAGCTCTGCTTAAGTTGTTCTTGGGGCTCTCAGCTCCTCTCAAGTGAGCTCTGAGCCCCAGCATGCTGGACCCCCAATAAACCCTCTGCTGTTGCATGAGACAGTCTCTTGGTGGTCTCTTCCTCCCATGCTCAACCGACCTTAACAAGCAGACTGCAAGGGAGGCTGGGTGTTCAAAGGGCCATCCTCAGAATCATTGGCCAGTCTCCTCACTCCCACGCCTCATTGTGCTCCAGCGGACATCATTCAACAGTGACCGCTTGTCCCTGTCATGTGGAAGAAGGTCCCAAGCATCACCAACATGCATGGGGAAGAGGCCACAAATCATTTAACTTGGGAAACCAGGAGGCCTGAGACTGAAGCCATCCTAGCCTCTCTGACCAAGCCCAAGGTAGGAGACAACCCTGGGCAGAGCATAGTTTTGGTGTCCTCAGCCAGAGCAGCATATCAACACATGCGTGGCCACCTCCTCCTCTGACCCCCTTCACCAGAAGGAAAGCAAGCCTCTGGAGAGACACACCCATCACAGGGAGCAGGGATGGAGCCAGGACCCCTGTCCAGCTGTATGACTCCTGGAACCCACGTGTAGCCTGAGCTTTCCCCAGAGCAAGGCAGAACTCCCAGACCCAGTATCTCTAATTTTCACTTTAAAACGAGAAAAAGGGGGCTGAGAGGATTCATCAGGGTGCTTTTCTGGCCAGGCATCTATTATGGATGGTCTGGCAGTGGGGTGGGCAGCAGAGTCTCAGTTCTCTCCTCCCACTCCAAATCCCCCTAAAGGGAAACCCTTGTGTCTTGGCTGTTGTGCTGCCTTTGCTGCCAGAGGACAGCCCCACCTCAACCCCAAGCCCTCTGTGGCTGTCCTGATCATGAGAAAGCTGGTCATCCCTCAGGATTGTTTGACACATCTCTGGGTCTCTTGTTCCTACTCGATTCTTTGAAATGCCCAGAGCTCAAGGGTGTATGCACCCAAGTAGCCAGAACTGAAATTGGGGGCAGAGTTGGGTCCACTTCTCACCATATTTCTTGTTCTGTGACCCAAGGGCTGATGAAACATGGGGATGAGGGACTTAGACAGGCCTGGGATTGTCACTGTCCTGGAAATGGCTGCTGCAGAGGTCTGTGCAGAACCCCAGATCACATCAGCAACCAACGTGGCCTGGGACCTGATCCCCACTTTAAGATCTGCCCTGGGCAGGAGCAGCCTCCAGAACTCAGCCTTCACATGGGAGGAAAATGGCATGTCTGTCATTCTGTCACTGCTTCCCTACTCATTATCCTCCTGGCACATGACTCTTCTGTTAGACATGAGGTCCCCTTTCAATGCCAAAGTCAGCTTGCATTTTCAGCTGACCCTGAAATGGTTCATATTGGTAAGAACATGAAAGGAGCTGACAGGTTGCCTTTGTGTCCCAGGGAAGCCACAAGGTTGGATCACCTAACATTATGTGGACTCTACAGGCTTTTGTGTCTCCTGGAATGTGCTTTGGGTTTCTGCAATAGCAAACCCAAACAAACACAGAATAACCAAATTATAAACTCTAGTTGACATCAAACTAAGGACTTTCCGTCTCATTAATGAAATATTTTTCTTTTGTGCCAGGTGTGGTGATGATACCTCAATCCCAGCCTCTAGGGAGGCTGAGTCAGGAGGATCAAGAGTGTACAGCCAGCCCCAGCAAAGTTGAGCTGCTAAGCAACTCAGAGAGACCCTGGTTCTAAATAAAATACAAAATGAGGCTGGGGATGTGGCTCATTGATTGAGTGCACCTGGTTCAATCCCTGGCATCCCCATCTCCCTCCCCCCAAAAATGCCAACTGTTTCTTCTGATTGCCAGAATCCTGGTCTGTAGTCGGTAGTCACTGTGCTGCTCCTTTGCTAGCAAACCATTTTTTTTCCCTGTAAACTCACCGCTGTGTCCTTATTATTGGATTGGAATTGGGAAAGATGATGGAGCATTCAGGAACACCTTAACATCATGT